TGTTGGAATTATTATAATAAAAGATAACTTAAAACTTGACTCTTTGTTAGAGGAAAAAGAGGGAAAAGTTTAGTCGCCACATAGGGAATGGGATAGAAAAAAGGGGCCTTATAGCCTTCCCTTCTCTCCTTATGCCTAGAAGAAAACAAAGGTTATGCTCGCACAACCACACACGCGCGCGCCGGGCGGGTCCGGCTCGGGGCTCGGAGTTCGGGTCGGGTGCTCGGGTGGCGCTGCGCGCACTGGACGACCTGGCGTACGAGCGAATGCTAGCCTCCGGATTAAATGGGCCTCTTAATCTGCTACACTTTTATATTTTAAATAATTAAAATATAATTTCTTTGAACAATTAACATGTGATAAAATATTTTGTAATCGAAATATTTGGAACGGAATATACTCTAGTGCTGAAATAAAACGTGTAATAAACATTTGCGAATTAACTCTATGTAACGAAAGGGTTTTGATAACGGCTAAGTTTTTATTAAGCGTGATTTAAAACCGTGTTATTACGGGGTTCTATACAAGTAACGCGCCTGTTTTTCCCTATATAGAAGGATCTAACATCCCCCCCATACCCAGAGTTTAACACACGCGAAAGAAGAACAACCTTGCTTCTTCACCTTCTCTGTTTTCTCTTTCAAATACTACTGTTACAATTTGCCTGGCTTCCTGAAGTTTACGAAGAATTCGCAAGCCTTCTTGCAGCTCGCTGTGCCGACGAGAAGTGAGGCTCGCTTCTGACCGAGGTCGTTGTATCTCCGAGCTTGGCCCGCCGTAGCCCTGTACGAGAGGTGCCAATTAGTTTCTCTTCGACAGTTGCTTGCACGCCCTTTCGACCATCAGGCCGTATTTCTAACCTCTATTTACTTTTCATTTGATATATTTCTTATATCTGCCGTTTATAAGTAGTAATATCTGTTAATTATCAAATTGTTTAAACTGATTTTCGTTATTGTCTAAACAGCTAATATTCCCAACAGTATCCGGAGAAGGCTGAGCAGAAGCCGATTGAGTAGCTGGAATAACAGAAGGTGAATGAGCGATATGATGGTCAACCTGTAAAGTATTACTAATGATATTTAGAGGGCACGTTCAGATGAGCTCACACAAATCTGTAATTTAATAAATGTATGCTTGCCAAATAGTCAAAATTTAACGTTGTAATATTCTTGATCAAATTGCATGTGTTAAAGAGTTGATTGATAGAGTGAAGCAAATATTCAGCTTGAGAGAAAAATCTAAAGCAGGGGAATCAATTGAATGCAAGTCATCTGCAAGAAAAAACTTAGACCAAACTTATCTGGTAACAACACAATTGAATGCACACTTAATTAGTTCTCAGTTCTACATCCACTACGCTGAACTTATCTGAAAGAGTGGTGGAGTTAATGAATCACATGGACCTTTGCAATAAAAGTCATCCTCAAAACTTATTTTGAATTTTCCTTTGAATTTCAAGCTATCTAAGAAATAAGCTCCAGCTCAGGTTATCTATTTTTAAATTTCAAATTCAAACAATTTACTTTTTATCTCATATTATATTGAGAATACTATGGGAATTTACATGGTAATGTCATGTTCATTTCTGTAAGCTATATATTAGAAGTAATTGGTTGAAGCTACATGTATGCGCACGTGTGGAAAAAATATCAAAAGCAGAAAAGAAGTAGTAAGCCAATTAGCACGAGCATGTGTCGCGCGCCTTTGTTGAAGCCTTGCACGAACTCACAACGAACCTGTGATCACGAGTCGAAGAAAGCAAAACTCTTGCACAAATCAAACCAATAACGCCAAATCAATCCAAACACAGAGATATACGTGGTTCGGCAATTTGCCTACGTCCACGGGGAGAGGATGGGGAGATTTCACTAATTCAAGGAGAGTACAAAGGGTTACAATCACACAAGAACTCTCAAACTAACCCTCAACCAAAGATCTCACCTTGCTCACAATATCTCCCTCTCACAATGCTCAAAAGATTCCTCAATCTCTGATGTAAAACCCTCACAAATCGTTTCCCTATTTATACCAAAACAAAACCCCAATCAGACTGCAAATAGGAAACCTGCGTATGCAAAAAACCCGATATAAGTCGACTTAACAGAGGGTATAAGTCGACTTGGCAGAGGAAAAAACAACAACTGGAGATGAGATCGTAAGTCGACTTATGATGCCTGATAAGTCGACTTAACAGAGGCAAAAAACACAATTCTGCTGCAGATCGTAAGTCGACTCGTGCACGCAGACAAGTCGACTTACCATAAGTCGACTTAGCCTTGTGCATGAGTCGACTTATGCCAGTTTTTCTGGTTTTTCTGATTCTTTTCCTGATTTCTCCACAATTCTCCACCTCGGCGAATTTTGCCAAAAATGAGCCGACACCAAACCAAGAGCATCAATGTGTCGTCTCTCCAAATACGGCTGCACCACCATGGTTGCCTACGTACCCCCTCTCCCAAGGGATCAAGCCGCCCGTAGTTCATCCAAATGGCCGTCAACGGCCTCAACAATCACAAATATTCAACAAGTTTCTGCAATGATCAAACTTGTTGCTTGGAACCACCTTCGTGAGCATATCCGCCGGATTATCCTTCGTATGGACCTTCACAATCTCCACATCGCCATCTTCAAGAACATCTCGAACGAAGTGATAACGAACGTCAATGTGCTTCGTCCTCGCATGAAAAACCTGATTCTTCGCCAAATATATAGCACTCATGCTATCACAATGAATAGTGACGGATCGCTGCGATATACCAAGTTCTTCCAGAAGTCCTCGAAGCCAAATAGCCTCCTTCACAGCCTCCGTAACTGCCATATACTCTGCCTCCGTCGTAGACAAAGCCACCGTCGACTGTAAGGTGCATCTCCAACACACCGGCGCACGGGTCAAAGTGAACACATACCCCGTCGTAGACCGGCGCTTATCCAAATCCCCGGCATAATCCGAATCAACATAGCCAGTGCATAGCTGCCCACCTGTAGTGTCCCGTTCATAAACTAAACCAACATTGAGCGTACCTAGAATGTACCTCAAAATCCATCTCACGGCATCCCAATGACCCACTCCTAGATCGTGCATGTATCTCGACACCATGCTCACTGCCTGTGACAAATCCGGCCTCGTACATACCATCGCGTACATCAAGCTCCCAACTGCGCTCGCATATGGAGTCTTCGACATCAACTCACGGTCTTCAACTGACTTCGGTGAAAGGTCAGCTGAAAGCTTCAAATGGGCTCCCAACGGTACACTAACTGGCTTCGTATCCATGCTAACATGGAATCGCTGTAGAACCTTCTTCAAATAAGCCACCTGTGTCAAACAAATTCTGCCCTTCTTCTTGTCTCTGCCGATCTCCATCCCTAAAATGCGCTTCGCCTCGCCCAAGTCCTTCATCTCAAACTCATTCGAAAGCTGAACTTTCAACTCATCTATAGCTGACCTGGAACTAGAAGCAACCAACATGTCATCGACATAAAGCAACAAATAAATGTACGCACCTCCTCTCAACTTGCGAAAATACACGCAAGGATCAAACTGGCTCCGACTGTACGAATGACCAAGCATAAAACCATCAAATCGCCTATACCACTGTCGAGGAGACTGCTTCAAACCGTTTAGCGATTTCTTTAGCCTGCAAACCAACTTATCTTTCCCTGCAGCTCGGAATCCCAATGGCTGAGTCATATATATTTCTTCATCAAGATCACCATGAAGAAATGATGTCTTCACATCCAACTGATCTAACTCCAAACCATACTGTGCGCGAGATCTTCAACGGCAACTTCAAACCCTAACTCCACCAAAGCCTAGAACTCCAAGAGCCAAGCTTCAAACTGAATCTTCCTCCACCTAATCCAAAACCCCAGATCTGAATCTGAGCTCTGATACCACTTGTCGCGCGCCTTTGTGGAAGCCTTGCACGAACTCACAACGAACCTGTGATCACGAGTCGAAGAAAGCCAAACTCTTGCACAAATCAAACCAATAACGCCAAATCAATCCAAACACAGAGATATACGTGGTTCGGCAATTTGCCTACGTCCACGGGGAGAGGATGGGGAGATTTCACTAATTCAAGGAGAGTACAAAGGGTTACAATCACACAAGAACTCTCAAACTAACCCTCAACCAAAGATCTCACCTTGCTCACAATATCTCCCTCTCACAATGCTCAAAAGATTCCTCAATCTCTGATGTAAAACCCTCACAAATCGTTTCCCTATTTATACCAAAACAAAACCCCAATCAGACTGCAAATAGGAAACCTGCGTATGCAAAAAACCCGATATAAGTCGACTTAACAGAGGGTATAAGTCGACTTGGCAGAGGAAAAAACAACAACTGGAGATGAGATCGTAAGTCGACTTATGATGCCTGATAAGTCGACTTAACAGAGGCAAAAAACACAATTCTGCTGCAGATCGTAAGTCGACTCGTGCACGCAGACAAGTCGACTTACCATAAGTCGACTTAGCCTTGTGCATGAGTCGACTTATGCCAGTTTTTCTGGTTTTTCTGATTCTTTTCCTGATTTCTCCACAGCATGGGCCTAATATAATATATGAGGGAGCTCAAACTTTTATAAAGGTGAGACGAGCTTTGGATTAATTGAAATTCTTCCCTGCTTTGAATTTTATTTCAGTTACTGTAAGGCAAGAGTTCTTTTTCAAATAAAAAGTAAGCCGTCTATTTCTGTTTTTAATTCTTCTCGTAAGAAGAAATTGACAAATGGAAAACGGAAGGATTATAAGCTGTCAATTCCTTTTGAGGTTTGTAGAGAAATATTTCCTTTAAAAGGGTATTTTTATAAAACAAAAGTACCATGGTCTTGTAAAATTCATTTAGAATACACATATTAAAGCTAAAATCATGGTTATTCACCATATCAGTATAATTAGCTGCTGGATTGAGGAAAAACTGAAACAGATATGAAAAAGGATTAACCAGATATTTCAACAATACGGCTTTAAAACTCAAAACAAATCCCAAAAGAAGCTTTATGTCGGAGATCCCTCGTATCAAGTTCACAATGATTAACGGAGTGATCATATTTTGCTGGGGGCGTAAAAAACATGGTTGCATTACATCACTGCTAAGAACAAATTTTCAGAAGCAATACCATAAATCTAGTTTCATGCACTCAGTACCCAAAAATCTCCATCTCCATCTCCATCTAAATCTAAGCCGCATAACTCCACTGATTATTACAACACCATCTCGGTCTAAACAACAAAACAAAGTAACAACATGATGAAAGTTCGTGATCCTATCTCCCTTTTCTGATTACTCGATTTTCCTTTCGGATCAACCTGAGATTAGGTCTATAAAAAAAATAGAAAGTTAGCAACATTAACGAGTAAGAATTGACAAATATATGTGTCTGTTTCTTCACCTATCCGTACGTGTCGAAGTCATGATTGTAGAAATTGAAGTCTTCTTCTAGTCCATCAAAAGGATCAAAATCAATAACAGGATTATGATTTCGAAGCATCCTTTGTCCATTCATCTGATTGATGTCTTCATTTGTAGGAGAAACAAGTTCTTCATTCTGATTATAGAGCCCAGTTGACATCGCAGATTCTATATCACTAGGATTATACTCTCCATTATTGCTCAAGTAGATGCCTTCATTTGGTTGAATCCCTTGCTTCAGTGGGTTGAGGGGTAAGCCACTGGGGATTGCATTGTCAGTAGGAATCTGATTACTAACCCAAATTTGTGTCCTTGGATCGAACATGACTCTCCTAGAGTTGAGGTTTGTCGCCGAAGTTGAATAAGCCAACATGGGCTGCTCTTGGATTTGGTTATCCATTGTAAAAACACAACCCTTGCGTCTCTCACAAGTTTGTGGAGGAAAGCTCACATTTAGGCCAGAGTTCATTTCTGGGCTGTTAGTAGGTTGGAAGTTGTTCGCTGCAATCAGAAGAAGAAGGATAAAACAAAAACGGAGGCTTTTAGTAACAAACACATGAACAGACATTTAATCATTTTGTTAATTGCAGATACACTCCCTGTATTATAGTCCAATCGTAGGTAGATCCCTCATAGTTCTATTGATGCAGATAGCCCACTTGAATGAACTTTTTGGACTCTTTGAAGGTTCCAGAAAATAAAAATAAAAAATAAAAAATAAAGTAACAATATTACTCAAGGGGTCTATAAACACTTAGGCAATAGTATATGGGGTCTACTCACACCAATAGAACTATAGGGAGTCTATCCACAATTAACACTTTAATCATATGTTCATCTAAAATTTTCTTCTAATGTGGGACTAAATTATCATCTCATACCTTTGAGAGATGGAAACCCACATTAAACTGAATGGACAGGGGACACTTAGAACAGAGATGAAAAAGGACCATTTTAAGCACCTGAAATTGGGAGCATTGGATCAATGGACATATGATTCAAAGCATGTTCATTCATAGCTGCAAAGTGCATACCTGTTTTAAGGGGAGAAAAAAAAAATCAGTAAACCACTTTATTCTGCTAAAGTGCAAGGATAATGCTGCATTATAAATAAAATTTACCTGGAATCATAGGGTCCAAGTTTTCGATCATTGATGGGTAATGAGCAAAGGGAAACTCTTGGGGAAGCAGCCGAAGAGGCTGAACCATAAGTCCAGATTCTTGGATTGGATTCATATGTGCATATTGATTCTCTAACGGTGAATCCTCAGGCTCAATAATATCGAAGAAAGGAGAATCATTTGCAGGGAAAGAACCTCGACTTATTAAAAACAGTAAGCCGTTGCTATGTACCAGCTTTTCGTAGTGTTTCTCTAGGACTCCTTCGGCAAATGTAAGAGTGTGTCTTCTGGGGAAAAAAGAAGAAAATTAAATGATACCAAGTTATTTATGTATGGCGATATTATCATGAAAAGCTCAAAGAGAATAATGTAGTGTTATTGATACACCTGCATCTTGAAGCTTCCCCATTTGTAAAATCTTTGATTTCTTTCCAAAATGTATGCTTCTTTGGTTGAGGATCTTGTTCTTCATAGAATGTTGGTGGTTTTTCTAACTGTCAAATACAACCAATAAAATCAAAGATTGCTCAAATATCGCAGAATTCAGTACAGGAATACTACCTCAATTTGGAGAATGCTAGCTTTTCCTTCCATATATATTGCTCTGAGTGATGATAGATTATTCCACTGAATCTGTATCTTTTTCTTCAGCCCATCTTTTTCAAGCAACTCCCAAATGAGTAGTTTTTTCGCAAAGTAGAATTTTCCCACTATTTCATTATCGTTCTTGGCCACTCTCTTTACATAAGAAATACAAATTTCAAGAACAATTTTTTGTTAGAATACACAAACTTTTATCTTAGTATCGATTATGTGATATTATATCAAGTTAATTACCTCCCAAGAACCAATCTCGAGTTTACGTGCAGGGAAATTAGAGGCCTTAAGCTTCTCAGCCTCAGATTGATATTTTTTGATTGTTTGGTACTTTGTACGTGGCTTCTCAAATAGCCTCTTCTCGATTCGCATCATAAATTCTGTAGTCTTATTCAATCTGAGATTCGGAGGTCTTATTCCCTGCATTTCAGTCTGTAAACGAAAAAAAAATGTTGACTATAAAAACTGTAAAATAAATATTCAGCAATGGTAATCCTAACATTTCCGAAAGATATGAAACATTCAATTGACGGAAAAATTAAGGAAGAATGTTATCATAAATAAAGAAGTTTTGACGCTATAAGCAGATTAATCTACAAGCAATATGAATTGGTTTCCCTGTCAAAAAAAAAAACCATTATCAAAAGATTCCAAAGAAGTCAAGGAGATTTAAAAGAATCACGGCACTAAAACTTATGTAAATGACAATATTTAGGACTGGATCAAATGATATCTTTGGAGAATTCATCGAAATCATTGATCAACAGTAACATTTAAAAACCACGCTTTTAAACTTGGACAGGTATATTTGAAAACCTCCTTAGAAAATTAAAACAGGTCTAAATCATTTCACTACATGAACTCAAAAGGAAAAAAAAAAGAAAGAGAGGTGTACTTTCAAAGTAATATATCGAGCATAAATCACAGACAAGCATTAATCTAGTACTGGAAGCCTAAAAGATAAGAGGAGAAAAAAATGAAAAATAAAATCGTAGAGTAGTAGATCTTGCACCTTTCGTCTCTTAGAATGATCCCCGTCGTCTTGGCCATCTCCAGGTTTGAAATTATGGACCATTTTCCCCACCCAGAAAAAAAAAAACGTCAATGAGATCTACAAACAATGATGAGAGAGCAAGGAAGAAAAAGTTCTCCAGTTGCCTCTGTTTTTATAAAACAGGGCGAGAGTGGTTGAGATTGGACAGAGAAAGAGAGATTTGAGAACAGGGGGATGAGAGAGAGAGAGAGAGGGAGGGAAGCAGAGTAGATAGATGGAGGGAAATATTTAGAGGGGATTCACATTCTAGAGTTACTCGGAAATAAAGTTCGTTATTTATCTGTTAAGAGCGGGAAGCCTTCGCCCCCAAAGCTACATAACTGACGGGCCCCACTGAACCGTAAGCCTTTCGCGGCCGTTCACTGGCGGGTAAATTGAGGTTTACGCGCCGCGGGGTACGTAATTTCACGCCGCGCATCCAAGATGTACTCAGTTCTGGGCGGGGTGGAAACGAAACCAATAATTAACAATTAGTTTGGTAATTGTTCAAGTAACTATTCGGTTGTACCCGATTCAGTAGTTCATTTAATACTAAACAAATTATATTTAGTTTAACGATATGTATATTCAATTTATTTGGTCATCAGATATTTGTTTAAAAACCGGTCGCTTATAATTTGTATTATTATACACAGAATGCTATGTTTTCAACCCATTTATATTTTCTATTTAAGTTCTATACACTAATTTTGAGGGACTTAAAGAATTTTCAATCAACTTTCTGATGGAACATTCAAATTAAATATATATACATCATAATTATAAAGAAATAATTTTCATTTGTAAATTTAAATACTATTTAAAAATTAATTTCTTTATCGTAATATACTTTGATATGCAACAAATATTCGTGAATATTCATGAATATTTATCAAATCCCGAGTATTCAAGTTTGAATTCGAAAAACTTTAGATAGGGATTTTTGAATTCAAGTCCGAACTTGATCATTTTAAACAAATATAAATATGAACACCTTACTGTTCGATTCGATTCGATTGTTTACCATCCCTTTGCGGAACATTGCAAATATCCATTCTGTGATGTTTCTAATTAGGGTTGCTTCGATTAGTCCCTCAAATCTTCATTAACTTCCATATTAGTTCCTCAGATCAAATTGTTCATACATCCCTCAATGACCAAGGTAGCCAGCTAATGTCTGTTTGTTTCTTTCTTTCTTTTTTTTATGTGTGTGTGGGTGGTGGTGATGTGGGGGGATAATAAAAGGGGTTTTACGGAAAATATAAACTAAAGTATAATTTTGGTTATTGAAGGGCCAAATTGTTGGACCCCTTAGGATTTGAGGAACTAATATAAAACACTGGAGATTTGTGGGACTAATATATAAATAACCCTTCTAATTAATTTGTTGTGTACCTCTCTAGGGGTTCAAACGGACATACATATCTGTAGATACATTCGATACGGATACCATATATAAATATTCTTTAGGATATGAATACAAATACAAATGTATATGTAAAATATCTGAATCTATATCTAAATATTCGAATAGATGTACCTGTTAGAAATAAACCACTGCAAAATAATCAAAATAGAAATTCCAGAAAGTTAGAAACGCAGGCCTGAGAAAGGGGTAATCGTGTGATCACGCCTAGCGGTAAGAACCCCCCGAGAAAGCCGGCACCAAAGTTTACTGCGAAACTTTGATCTCTGCTAAATGGATGTTTTTGCCCAAAAATTGAAATCAGAAATCAAATATTGTAGAGAATAAGAGTGAGATTAGGAAATGCTCACTGTTTTTTTTCTTTCGTACGTTTTATCCTTCATTGAGATCCCCTTTTATAGCAATCTTGATTTTCCCGTTGGAATAATCGCTGTCATCAAGGAGGAGGAATTCACGTTCGGAGAGGCCGCCGACATTGCCGCAATGAGGACGATATTTTCGCTTGGAGGAAAAGAAGGAAGGATGGAGGAATCATCGGGATTTTCTTTTAATGATCGGAGAAATGGAATAAGCGGTGAATGAGGAAGATGACAGAGGATAATAACGCGTATGTGAATTAGATAAGGAAAGGGAATTTTGCAAAAGAACCCTTCAAAAGTCATATTTGCATAAGAACTCAAATCTTTAAATTAGTTCCAACAATCCTCCCCCCAAAAGATTGAGTTCTGGGGAATAAAAGAAAATAATAATAACAACAATGATAACAGTAATAAAATATAGGTCGGGCAACCTCATATTATGAATTCGGTAAAGATAGCTTTCGGCTTTGAATCTTTACTTAGTGACATTTGTCGCAATCTGAGAGGCATAATGGATTAGACCTTGAATTAGGCCCCTTGATCAGAAATTAACAAAAGCACACATAATACGCATCCATTTATTGAGCGCGGGTCGGAGCGATAATGGCCATGCTCACAATAACCGTCTCATGAGAGTTACTAGGACTCAGTCCCATGTCCCCAACCGCGGCCGTCACGGTTCCTCTCACGTAGGTAAGTCCTCCAAGGGTACTGCGACTGGATATTGTACCCCCCACAAAGGTTGGACTTATTAAGAGTAAAACTCATCCTGCCCAGTCACATCATAAGAGCACTGTCACCATAGGAATGAGGGAGTAGCTAACATGGTGCAAGTCATAAATGCATCCAACACTACAAAAGGAGTATAACTCCGAAGGTCAGTGCTCCACACGAGATCACCAATCCAGCTTGTTTCTACCACATTGAACCTTTTTCATGAGAATAATTCATCAATCAAAGGTTGGGTTCCCGCTGTCAGTGAACTCTACTATGGGCTTAACCCCATTCCCCTCGATGATTCTAGGATTGCACTCCTAGATAGACCCTTTGTCAAGTGGTCTGCCAAATTTTTCTCTGACTTCACAAACTCCAAAGCAACATATTTTCCCATAAGGTTCTGCACAGATTTAAATCTTATCTGCAGATGTCTGTTCAACTTTTTATTGATGGTATTTTGTTTTAAAAGTTCTATAGTGGATCTGGAGTCTGTGTGAACAGATATAGGAGGAATAGGTCCAGACACAAAGGGGAGTTCAGATATAAGGTTTTTCAACCATTCAGCTTCTGAGCAACAAGAATCTAAAGCTATAAGTTCAGACTCTATAGTGCTTCTGGCAATCACTGTTTGTTTACAAGATTTCCAAGATATAGCAGCACCGCCAAGCATAAAAATAAATCCAGAAGTAGACTTCACATTGTCAGAATCAGTGACCCAGTTAGCATCACTATACCCTTCAATCACATCAGGGTATCCAGAATAAGTTAAACAATAGTCTGTTGTACCTCTCAAATATCTAAAGACTCTTTCTAATGCATTCCAATGTTCCTGACTTGGGTTACTAGTGTATCTACTTAGTCTACCTACTGCATAAGCAATGTCAGGTCTGGTACGATTAGTCACATAAAGAAGAGAGCCTATCAATTGTGAATATCTATGTTGGGATATAGGCTCACCATCATGTTTGTTCAAGGTGATAGAGGAATCATAAGGTGTACTTACAGGTTTGCACTTATGAAATTCAAATTTCTCTAACATTTTCTCTATGCTATGGGATAGGCTCAAAGAAATGCCCTTAGGAGTTTTGGAGATTTTCATTCCAAGAATCAAATCAGCTTCTCCAAGATCTTTCATGTCAAAATTCTTTGACAAATGATTTTTAGCTTCTAGAACGACTTCGATTGAAGTCCCAAAAATGAGTATATCATCTACATACAAACATAAGATGACACAATCATTGTGAATAACTTTTGAGTAAACACATTTATCAAACTCATTGATAGAAAAACCATATTCCGCAATGATTTTGTTAAATTTTTTGTGCCATTGTTTAGGAGCTTGTTTAAGCCCATATAGAGATTTCATCAATCTACAGACCTTCCTTTCTTGACCTTTGGCTATGAACCCTTCTGGTTGGTCCATATAAATCTCTTCTTCGAGATCACCATTTAAGAAAGCAGTCTTAACATCCATTTGGTGAATAATCATCTTGTGAATAGAAGCTAAGGCTAGAAGAACTCTAATAGAAGAAATCCTAGCTACGGGTGAGTATGTGTCAAAATAATCAATACCCTTTTTCTGAGTATACCCTTTTGCTACTAGTCTAGCTTTATATTTCTCAATGGTTCCATCAGGTCTTAATTTCTTCTTGAAAATCCATCTACAACCAATTGGTTTACATCCTGGAGGTAAGTCAGTTAAAACCCAAGTGTTATTTTCTATAATAGATTTAATTTCACTATCTATGGCTTCTTTCCAAAAAGGAGCTTCAGAAGAATCCATAGCTTCATGGTATGTGTTTGGATCACCTTCAACCAAAAAAGTAAAGAACTCTTCTCCGAAGTTCTTTTCGATTCTTCCTCTCTTGCTTCTTCTGGGTTCTACTTCTATCGATTGTGGAGTACTAGAAGATGAGGCAAATCTAGAAGGGACAAGAGAAGAGAGCTCACTAGGAATCCTAGTCTTGAAAGGGAATATATCTTCAAAATATACAGCATCTCGAGCCTCAATGATAGTGTTGTTGGTTATATCACTAATATCTGAGTTGACTACTAAAAACCGGTTTGTGTTGCTATCTAATGCATATCCAATAAATGCAGCATCAAGAGTTTTTGAACCAATTTTCCTCTTCTTAGGTTCAGGTATCCCTACCTTAGCTAGACATCCCCAAACCTTAAGATAATCTATTCTAGGTGTTCTACCCTTCCAAAGTTCATAGGGAGAGATATCAGATATTTTGTGAGGTATCCTATTAAGAATGTAGCAAGCAGATAGGAGTGCTTCACCCCATAGGTTTTCAGGTGCTCCTGAGCTGAGAAGCATACAATTTACCATATCCATGAGAGTTCTATTCTTCCTTTCAGCAACTCCATTAGATTGCGGTGTATAGGGAGTAGTCACCTCATGAATAATACCGTGTTCTTGGCAATATTCGGTCATGTTATTTGAGGTATACTCCCCCCCACGATCCGATCTTAGGATCTTTATTTTCTTCTCAATTTGATTCTCAGCTTCTGCTTTATATATCTTAAACTTTTCTAAGACTTCATTGTTCGCGGTGAAAATCGTTTTCTTCATTGAATTCATTGTGATCTCAAAATAACAACTTTTTGTGTTACAAAGATCCGGTCTTTTTATAAGATCCGGTTACAATGAAAATCAAAGAAAAATAAAGAAAAAATTACAACTTTCTCCTTTTGAACAAATTGTGAGCTCCTGTTTTGCGGTCGCTCGCTTGTGTGGGTTCTTTGCCTGCGCCGGGGTTTATCCGTGGACCACCGCGAGATCTAGATCCGATCAGATCTAAGCAGTACGACGGGTATTATTCCACAAAGAAAATAATAGCCGGGGAGGATTGATTCACCAAGGAAACAATCGTCCAAGTCTCGGGATCTAAGACCAAGCTTAGATCCGGAGTACGTCTGCGTAGATCTGAGATCCGGTCCTCTCGAACACCTGCCTTTTTTGGCGTTGACGATCGCTGAGCACCAGATCTGGAAGAGTGAGTCCCCGAAGTCCCAAAGCTCCAATCTTTTTTAAGTTTCGAGTCTTGAATCCGGCAGAGCTTCGCCTCCAAAATTTCCAACCTCTGAACAAATGAACCAAGTGGCCTATTTATAGGCACCCTTTACTGTGCCCGCGCACGGAACAGTGTCGGCCACCTCTGGGTGGCCTATCTGTGATTCAGTTCTGTGGTTGATTTATCCAGACTTGATTCGTTGACCTGATTTGGCAGTAAATCC